AACTACTGATATCTCCGTTTGAGATGATTCAAACGGAGAATATCGGGATACTCCATACGCGAAAGCGATAGGTACCCACTGATTTGAATATGGTGCCTTAACACGTTGACGACAGCGTGCATTTTTAGCTGTCTGCCTTGTGTGACAGTCCCATCTACAGTAAGTTGAGTATTTTTAGCTGAAATCAAACAGGAAGTTATCTGCATATCCCTACAGTGATTTTAAAAAGCAGCTAAGAAACGCGGAAGTACTTCCTAGAAATAAAGCATCATAGAACTTCTAAAACCACGGTCATTGCATGACCCACCATGTGGGTCACATTGTCGTCAATGTGTTAATGCTGAAAGTCGACTGCTTTTCCAGCTCCACTGTCAGCATTATCGGTGATGCATCATTACTCGTACGCGAATAGACTGTAAAGACAAAACCTGTAGATCTACGAACCTGTGAATTCTTTTAAAGAATCGTTCCGCAATTTAAAGCAGATATGTTATTAGTGCCTTGAAGGGACCTTATTGATGTATCCACACTCCCTTGGTAAACGCAAAAGCAATTCAGTATCCTTCACGTGCAAGAAAAAGAAGTCGAAGAATGTAAAGTCTCAAGGCATTTGGGAGTGTTAAAATAACTTTCAACACTTTTGGTATAACAGATTGGTTCCTTCCCCAAGTAAACATTTGTTGTGTTTGACCGCGTTTGAAAAAAGTGGTCCTCTTTATCACACATATCCTTGTTTTTTTCAGCACCCGAAGCGACTCCCACTGAAGTCAGAATAGACTACATTAGTCAGGATCAAGTACAAATCCAGTTTGTTCAAATTCCAAACATCGAAATGTACGGGGAAGACACTGGCTGCAAGGTAAAATTCCAACTACGTCAATGACGGTTTGCTTCTTTGCAAATGCGTAAAATCTATGTTTAAAAAACTGCATAGGTGAACTAAAGGCGCACAATGGCTTTCAAGACAATGGAAGAATGTTTGGTCAAAGTGGCCTTTTGAGATGAGATGCACACTATTTTGATGTATAGGATGCTGATTCCAAATCTGCCCCCCTTATCTAGCTGTTCTGGACGCGCAGTTATGAGTGTGTTTTGGAGCATGAATGTTCAACAAAAATTCTTTCAGTATCTTTCCGTTTTCCGGACCCAATTTTCCAAAGAAAATAATATTGGTATTCCTGCAACATACAGGGTGTCCCAAAAAAATGTTAACACTGTTTGATCGTTAATAACTCCCTTGCTTTCAAGTCTTTCGCCGAGCTTTAGGTAGCATTTTGTAGAGCTAGGATAAACTTAGATCTACAGTATCGAGCGAATCATCTAACTCTCCTCGTTACTGTAGATTACGGCAGGACATCTGACAAGGATTTTAGGCCGTTAAAGCCCATTTTCTGCTTCGAAACAGAGCCAAACAAGCTGATATCTCTTTTACTATGGTAATGAAGGCCGCTGATCTCGGATATGAAATTTTCACTTCATTATGATACTTCTTTTCAAAGTTATCCTAGGTAAAGTGTAATAACTGACTTCCCAGCATGTGTCAAAAATGTGATTACACCTCAAAAAAGCTGAAAACACTTGTAAAAAGTTGTGTAGTAAAATCAGCGTGCGCGAAAACCCTAGTACACGATTTTTCAGATTTTTTGAATAAAATTTTGTCAGAGGGCATATTTCACGACGGTTCCACATGCTGCAATTTCCTACCGTAATTCTACAGTAACGAGGAGTGTTGGATGACTCGCTCGATACTGTAAATCTAAGTTTATCCTCGCTCTACAAAATGGTACCTAAAGCTCGGCGAAAGACTTGAAAGCAAGGGAGTTATTAACGATCAAACAGTGTTAACATTTTTTTGGGACACCCTGTATTTGGTCTCAGCTTCGTAGGAAGGTGTCAACCTTTTGCTACGTGTCAAAAAAATTGACATATCATCTAGATGTTTGACACGCTTTATCAAGAATTTGTGTTGCCCTACCTAGCAACGCAAGTTTAGTCTGTTTTTTAGTCACTACGGACATCATTTCCATCAAACAGTCTCAAAAAAGAAAAGTCAATGATAACGTCGTACTATTTTCAATGAGCAGATTGGACTTGCTCAGAATAAGGAAACGCGCTAGGATTTCGTTATCTAGAAGGCGAAACAAGCAGCAGCAGGGTACTTCGAGCCATCACTTACAGACTTTCTAAATTAGCCTTGCGTAAAGGCTTTGGAGAGCGACTTTGCTAAAAGCAATCAAGATGTTCCGAAATAAGTTTAAAGGCAGTGGCTCGGCAAATCACCTAGTCAAATTTTCGCTTACCTAGGGTTTTTCAATACGCTGATTCTAAAAATTTACTTTTGAGAGATTGAAAACGCCGAAAACGAGCGATTTTCAACGCCCTTCCCTTTGGAATTGGACGAGTGCAGTAAGGGAACGGCCATAGGTTCGCAGTGTTCGCGGTGATCGTGGTGTTCGCGGTGTTCATGGTTTCGCAGGGTTTGCAGTGTTCGCGGTTGTCGGTGTTGCCGGTGTTGCGTAATGCACGTTTTGTAGTTGAACTTCGACTTTATGAATTAATATTGCATTGATTGTAAACACATTACCACCTTCGAGCAGCTTACAACACCAAGCAGCAACACCGCGAACACCACGAACACCGCGAACACTGCGAACACCGCGAACACTGCGAACCTATGGCCGTTCCCTAAGGCTAATGACGCCGAATCGTTGCAGGACCCAATGGTTATAGCATTGCGGCGGGCAGCCTCCAACGGAGAGAAGGAAATCGCCAACTCGTCCGGATGCGTTAAGAATGGCCTGCGCGTGTAGTTTGAGAGCAATTTTCTCGGCAAGGAAGACATGCTGTGCAACCGGGATTGCACTGTTTTCATACCTGGGCAATAAGGAGTCTACCGCGTTAAAATTTTGAGTTGTTGAGTTTTGCCGACCCACTGCCTCTAAGATAGTTTTGCTCCTGAAACAGTTAAACAGCTTTAGGTGATCACAAATGCTCTTTTACCTCACCGAAAATGATTTCGGTAAAAAACATGTCGAAAGGAACCAAGACGTGTCAATTTATCTTGAGACGTGGCAGGTGGGGGCAATCTTCAATCTATGAAAATTTGCTCTTAGACTGAGAATATTTTATGACCTTTAAAAAATTGGGTCGTATAGTGGGAAAGTACCATAGATGATTAGACTGAATTGGGACGACGTGATGTTATGTTCTTCGGAGTTGTGATTTATCTTCTACTAACCTTCTTTATTATAGAACGCCTAGAGCGTATTAAATAAACAAATAAGTAAATAAATAAATAATAATCGGTACTTTATGATCTGATTGTTCTATGTTCAAACATAAATTCGTTCACCGTCGTCTTATTTGGGCTAAAATATTAACAACTATTCCCCTTATGTTGCGCATTTAATTATTTGCTCCTAAAAATCTCATAACTTCGCGCCCAGAAATGCTCGGCAGATAAGGAAGGCAGATTTGGAATCAGCATGTATGCCCTCCAGATGGTGTACATCTCATCTTAAGGCCACCTCAACCAACATCCTTCCCTTGAGATTATCGCGCGAGTCCTCGCTAGCCGCCCTCGCTTGGGCCACTTCGGCGCGTTCGCGAACGTATGTGGGAGCATTTCCCCAAGCCCGTCAGCCATTGATGCCTAGGGATACGGTGTTTCCACGCTTCAAGCATGAGAAAGTACCTTAATCGCGGAGGAAGAATGCGGCGAGAGATCTATGCGAGATAGCTCGGGAGCGGCGGTATCGTAATTCTCAGATTGAAAGCCCTGTTATGTGGTCACCCTGCTTGTAGACGGAAAATATGTAATGCGCAGATTTAGGACTGGAATTTTAGTGTCAAAGGCATTCTTTCCTTGAACTTGATGAGACTGAACACTTGATGAACAGTAGTGAAGGAATAGGATATCAACCTGCTTTTAATTTAAAGCTTTCTAGCACGTGCCAGAACAGCCCACTTAAGTCCCAGTCCCTCTCTCACTATTCACGCTCTTGAGTGAGCCTTCCTAATTCTGAGCGCGGTGAGCGATCGATAAACAATTCAACTAAACTACCGGTTATCAATAGTGAAGAGCTCCACCTTTTTGCTCAGAATAAAGCGCTATCCTTCCGCAAGCAGCTACATTCTCTGTGAGTTCTGTTTTGCCTCACTGAGCTCAAATTAAGGCCGAGAAGTATACGCGGCTGCATGACAAAGGCAATATCTTTAGGCGTGAACGCCGCTTTATTAGCCGCAGAGCGCATGAGACGTAGGATTTACAACGGCGAGGATACTCCTTCGCCAAAGTCAGTGCCTTTACGTGACCCAATAAATTGGATGTATTATTAGTAGTTTTTGAATTTGACGGAAAGGCAGGCCGAGAGAGCGATCAATAGTGAACATACCAATCTCCTTATTGCCCTTCTTCCATTTCTTCCCTCTATAGTGTTGTCTGCAGCTCATAAGCGACACAAGAACCACTGGCGATCACGTATGTTCGGGCATTGTCTTCAAGCCCTTGTATGAAACCTTCATTTCCAAAATAAATGATTTTCTGTACAAGTAACTTTTGTTTGCTGAAAATCGAGTACAGACACGATGAAGCTTTTGTGTTTTGAATGAGGAACATCTTATAACAGCAGCAAGCTTTCACAAAGGAGAGGACACTTTGTTCGAGATTATCTCATGTTAAAAGCAAGTAAATTCGAATACTTTTGAAAGGTGGCTGCGCTTGTGCATAGGAATTTGTTTTGTAGTATAAACTGGTTTTAATACATATAATACCTACAGCAGGAAATGAAACATTGTTTAAGATTATCTTATGTAGCATAGCCTGGTAAGTTCGCTTGAGAAGTGAAGTTTAGGTAGAAGTCTGCGAGAAGCGAGAAGTACTTCTGTGGTGTACAACCGGATTTACGCAACCGAAAGTTGGTAAAATGGAGTTCAATGAGTTGTTGCCGTCAAGTGAGAGAGAGGATACACAGCATAATAAAATGGTAATTCATTCTTAGAAAAGTATATGGCGAGAGTGTCGTGCTCCACGAACGGCGGCTTTGGTCCACCAAGCGACTGGATCACCTTCAACACTACTGCTATAACAGCATTCAAGGACGGAACAGAACATGATCAGGTAAGCAAACCCTACTGTACAAGCTTGATTTAATCCGATCTACTTTCGCCGTACATCTCCTTTTCACTCTTTTCAAAGTTAATCTCTGTGGCTGCGAAAGATGACTATAATCTCGAGCACAGAATAGACTGAGGAGGAAAATAGTGGTTGCATACGATGAATTATATTATAAAAGGACAAAGATTGAATTCCTTAGTAAAGTGAGGGCGCTATTGCAGAATACACAACCCAAAAATGAAAAATCTCGGATATAAAACTTTGTACATTGTACATAGCAGTTATTTGACATGCTGATCACGAAATTGATATTCATTTCGCAGATAGGGCATTTTTGAGAGGTTACGATAAGCATACGGCATGGGATCAAAGTCTCAGATCTTGCTGAAACTCTGCACAGAGGGAGTATTCGACATGCTGATCACGAAATGCACACTTTTTCCGCGCGAACATTTTCCCTGTATGACACCGATAGATGTGCCGTAGAGGGCTGACGTCCTAAATTTTGCTGAAATCGCGTTTAGAGTGGTATTTTAGCAGTCTGAACATGTATGTACATTATCTCAAATTCGCAAGATAGCGACATTTTCAGGGGTTACGATAGATATACGTTAGTTGAGTCGAAGTTCCGCATTTGCTCAAATCTTGGCCTAGGGAGTTTTCAAGCATGATGACTACAAATGTCATACTTGCTCATTGCGAGTGCGGAGTCACGGTTATTTGCAGCGTAAAAATAAACACCTTTTCTGCTTTCTAGGCCAGTTTGAATCCCACAAATCCACGAAGAGTTTTTGTTATGCGAAATTGACGCGACATCCCTGATCCCTCATCAGGGCCGGCAGTAATGTACCTTACCTAACAGCACATAGTTCCGTCAATTCGGCACAAATCCCAAAAAGGTGCCAACTTCGACGTAAACTCGCAGGCTGACCACAAGCATACCGCCACGAAATTTTTGCATCGCGCGCTTGAGTTGCGATACGTCGACCTCGAGCGCGGATGCGCTAACCAATCGACGCTGGCATGATGCCTTTTTACAAATTGGTAGAGAAACGAGCAATGAAGAGGAAGTGGTGCCTGCATGGGTGCATGATCAATGCTGTGTGTGGTAGAGTTTAGACTTTGCAAAAGTATCTGATCCACATACATAACCATAAGTGATGGCTAAAAGACAAGATTCTAAAAGAGACGCTAAACCAACGCGGTACTGATCGAGACCAGTCAATTATCATAAATTTTCTTTGCGTAAAGAACAAGAAATTGACCAAGAAAAAAACCTGAATAATAACAATCGACCTTTACAACGTAAACAAATTTTGGAGTAGTAATTGATTGATTGCCGAGACTTGAGTTGTGCGATGATGCCACAACAAATTCAGAAATACCGCAGCGAGGTGCCAGATCTCGACGTGGGAAGGCACGTCGAGATCTGGCACCTTTCTCTCGCAAAAGAAAAAACTATTTTTTGTGCTCTTTGGTCGGCCGGCAGCTCTCACTGACAATGTGCCGGCGGTTGCCGGCAGGTGAGTTCTCGAAGTTGCACCAGCACCAGCTGCGCTTCTCAATACTTTTTCATGAGGTGATTTCTCAGGTCTCCAATTTTCAATGTAGCTACCTTTAGAGTCGAGATGGCAGCTTCATTCAGAAATTCTCTGATAAGAATGCATTTAACGGCCTAGAAGAATCTTAGTTTTTGTCTACTTCACATCAAAGTCCCGGCGACTTGCCGAGAGACCTGCCGCTAGGTCAGGGGAGTACTACCAGCTCAGGTAATCCCCTCCACAAAAGGCAGATCTACGATTTTGACACCTTACCATAATTTTGACCCATACCGTATGCTTAACTTAACCCCTCAAAAAAAACTCCGTTGCAGAATGAAAGATATCATTTTCGAAATTAATAATAAAATAATAATAATATTTTCATGTTCGTGATTAGCATGTTAAATAAACCCTAAGTACAATTCGAGATCCGACACTTTTCACTTTTGGGTGGTTTTATGAGTACCCCGACTCTCCTTTTCATGGGCTAAGTCCCAAAAGTGAGCTTCAAAGCCCACCAGCCCCCTACTTCCATTGAGTGGGCGTCAGTGTACTAGGCTATTGAGGCTGGCTCTCAGAGTTTAGCGCATAAGCTGGAGCTAAGGGTCGGTTGAGGCTAAAGACACCCTACACCGCAAGACAACATGGGTGGCACAGTGCAAGAAACTTTTTTGTTCACAATATGATTCTGCATATCCTTTTCAGAAAAAAATAGCTTTAAGAAAATTTCTCTTTCGAAATTTGATTGGAATGCAAGCCACAGACTTGAAAAGTTTGAAAATTTTTGGAGGATGTAAGTGACGCCACTACCGCGGTGGTGTCAATGCGTATATACAGTGACCGCCAAAGTTGCGGACAAGCCGCCTTCCTTCTTTCATCGCTCATTTTCAGAAGTAAAACAAAGGTGAAAAAATGGTTAGATTACACGCGGTGATAGAGCTCTTCAAGAACTACAACCTACACGTTGCGCTGTCTGGAAAACATGTATCCTATAAATTGTGAAAATCTTTTTCTAAGAAAAGGTCCAAAAATGGCCGCGTCACAATGTCGCAGACAATAATTCTTCGAACGCGAAAATTTTCTTTTAGGTCTTATTTTGCAGCAAAAACAAAGGTTCTCCGGACAGGTAAGCATACTACATTGTAGAACTCATCGAGGACCATATTCGAGAGTGGTTACTTCCAAAAAAACCTAAGCTTGAATTGTATTTTGCTTCTTTTCAAAAAATTACTTCTAATTCCCTGCTTCAAGCCAAATTTCTTTGCATGGAAACCCATTCAAGACATCCCAACAAAGCTGTTTGGACAAAATGGATGCCCTTTGCCATCTTCTATGCATGGACGTGTGCTGATGAGTTTCTATGCTGATAATGGCTTTTGACAGTGCGTGCACATGACCCCACCTGCACCTCACCACTGAGTTGCACTGCTTTGTAGGCTTGTAGCTCGGCCGGCAGTCATTCTACGAGCCTGCATGTAGGCTCATTCGAAAGAGCTTGACTTCTTGGACACGATGGTTTGCGAAAGAGTTGGGTATGAGAAACAGCGGAGAATTGGCGGATGGGGTGAAAAAGCGCAGCGTTGAAGGTGATTGGAGTGGAGGCTCTTATCAACACCAGATCATTCCTAAAGCTTCGAAATGGATCTATTACAAGAACATGGACAGTTCTAAACTTTCAGGATGGAACTTGAGGCGATAAAAAGCTTTGCTCAACTTTAGCTGGAAATTCTTAGCCTACCACTAAAGCTGCGCTTTTTCACCCCATCCGCCAAATCTCCGCTGTTTTTCATAACCAATCCTTTCGCATACCGTCATGTCCAGGAAGTCAAGCTCTTTCGAATGAGCCTACTTGCAGGCTCGTAGAGCTACTGTTGGCCGAGCTACAAACCTACAAAGCAGTGCAACTCAGTGGTGAGGTGCAGGTGAGGTCATGCACGCACTGTCAAAAGCCATTTTCAGCATAGAAACTCACCAGCACACGTCTGATGCATAGAAGATGGCAAAGGGCATCCATTTTGTCCAAACAGCTTTGTTGGGATGTCTTGAATGGGTTCCATGCAAAGAAATTTGGCTTGAAACAGGGAATTAGAAGTAATTTTTTGAAAAGAAGCAAAATAAAATTCAAGCCTGGGTTTTTTTGGAAGTAACCACTACTCGATTATGGTCCTCGATGAGTTCTACAATATAGTATGCTTACTGTCCGGAGAACCTTTGTTTTTGCTGCAAAATAAGACCTAAAAGAAAATTTTCGCGTTCGAAGAATTATTGTCCGCGACATTGTGACGCGGCCATTTTTGGACCTTTTTTAGGAAAAGATTTTACAATTTATAGGATACATGTTTTCTAGAAAGCGCAACGTGTAGGTTGTAGCTCTTGAAGAGCTCTATTACCACATGCAATTGCAATTCAGTCATTTTTTCATCTTTGTTTTCCATCTGAAAATGAGCGATGAAAGAAGGAAGGCGGCTTGTCCGCAACTTTTTGGCGGTCACTGTATAGGATTCAAAGGCTGATGTGTCGAACCAAAATCTAATTGAGCATTCACTTTTACGTTTGTTTCGAAAGCGATGAGAGACATGAAATCTGAGGAATCAAAGCTGCGACAGCTAGAGCGAAGCATTGACCACAACTGTTCGCATATACACTCCTAGACCTTGAATCCTGGAAATACAGATAGCAGACTGCGCTCTTTCCAAATACCTTTCTACTCCTCTTTTGAATCATCCGTGCTTGAAAGTCTGAAACAAGCATAGGAATGATAGCTGTGCGGGTATGCTGTAGCTTCCTACGCGACATTGCAAAAAAAAAAGATGAAATAGTTTTGATGAGCATGGAAGTTTCTTACATCATCAAATACCTTTTATTCGAGTGCCAACTTGAATATACTTATTTCAGGTCTCTAACTCAAAAACGCTGCACAGAACACATGTTGTAATCTTAGGAACTGCCGTCGTGTTTGCAAACCGTCTTAATTACCTTTAAACTTATCACTTAACACTACAATTCAATAAAATATCATTAAATCGACTTTCTACAAAAAGTGCCAAAGCTTTGGTAATGTTAAATGTTATTACCCGAATTATCACTCTTCTTTATTGACCACAAGTTAGAGAGTTGAAAACATGAATAATTCGTAAATTTGCCCACTTATTAGTTCAAGTCAAGTCTTCACTACGAAACCACGGCTGCTATAGCTGTTTCTAAACCCAAACATTGCACAATCAATTCAGAATTACACTCTCACTCTTTGAGGCCGATACCTTGGATATCTCGGGTGTTAGAACCAAGGAAATTCGCACTTTTCTCTCTTGTCTCTATAAGCCAAAAAAGCATGGCAAGACAAAAACTAGGCCGCAAAAATGCTATTAAAACACTTATAAAACTATCAGTACTTTGATTGAAAGCGAATTCTAAATAATTACTGTGGTTATTATGGCTTTCGTAATTTTCTGTAAGTACAGTCATTTGCGTGACCCACATCACTGAACGAAAATCTTCACAAAAACTTCGGCAAATCGACAATCTACGCATTCAATCCTCTTTTTCTCATTCACTTTTGGGGCCGATTGTGCATAAAAATAGGCTTTTTTCTCGTTTTTGGGCTAAAATCCATCGTTTGCGAATTTGGCACTTGCAACAATCCACGACTTTGCAGAAAGTCCAATCAACGACCGACTTCGGTTTAAAATTCGCGTGGATCTTTGATTTCAAAGATTCCAAATCTTGTGCTTTTGCACAGTTTACCTACATGCTGATAAGGTGCTATGACAAAAATTCTAACGCAAGATCTTGACTGCAACTCGCTCCGCCTAAATATGTTGAAATACGACAGACATCTTTCCTCGAGTCACCTTGAAAGGTCTCCGTGAAGCCCTCGGGAAGTTCTATAAGTAAGTCCTCGAGAAGTTCACAAGAGGAAACTTTGCCGGAATATAATCACAGAAGTTTCCAAGAGCTTCAAATGGAACTCTGTGTTGGTGTACCAAACCGTACTAAATCCTGCTCTTTCTCTCTGAAACCACATCCTTTACTCATTTACACAGAATGACTACTCATAAATTACCACTAGGATAAAGCACAGTGACTCCTATCATTACTTATAATAACGGGCTAAGGATGTTTACGTGACTGTGTGTGTGTGTGTGTCTGTGAGTGTGTCTGTTACGAAATTCGTAGAGCATGTTCCAGCCAACCTCCTGGGCTCCAATTTTGCACAGCGCATGGTACCCGCATGAAAGTCCAACATGCAAAAACACGAGCAGATTTGTCGAGTGAATCCCTTAGGAACTGCGCCTTAAACAGAACCACTTTGCATTTGGGCCGCAAAATTGGGTCCGTAACTCCACTTTTTGCAGAGTCGTGGATGTTTATGCCAAGTAGATGTGCAAGCCATGAACTTAGGCGCAAAAAAGTGATCAAAAGTCCATTATTTTACAAAAACGGCGCCAAATGTATTGGTTGCGTAAATGGCCAATTTGCCAAGGTTGTATCAGAGCATTTGACGAGATTTTTGCACAAAGATGTAGCTCACAATGACTGCTGTTCTTATTACAATGTCAAGACTATGGGAAAATCAAAAACTTATAAAAATTTGCGTTTGTTTTCGGGCAAAAAGTCTCATCCACGCGAAGTCACCGATTCAACAAAAAACAGTTTCATGAATGAGTAGCTATTTACACTTTGTTCGTGATAACCTGCATGCTCGGTGAGTTCCAATGCCATCATTATGCGAGAATGAGTAGGGCCTAGATAGTAGAGCCAGTGCGAGCCTCTGCGAAGCAGAGGTGACGCACTGGTTAACAATAAGTCAACAGCGTCTAATGTTTATTTTCCAAATCTTTACCTTTATTTATGCAAGTCATTCATTTTTTCACACTCTTTATCATTACCATAACATCCTCTCTCTAACCCTCCCCTTCCTCCTCAAACTAGAGACAATCTACCATCGATGACATAGTGTTTCGCGCTAACTTCAATCTTTATCGCTTTGTCCTGCTTTGCTAATGCTAATGCCTTGCTAATTTTTATCGTGACATCAAGCCAAGCTGAGTGGGTGATAATTCCATCTCCGCTACTTCTACCTTTATCTTCAGCTACATAAAACTGACCGGAACTATGACGTAGCCAGCTCCACATCCATGAAACTGAGCAAATTTGAGCACTACCTAGAACATTATTCTTCAAAAGTCGGCTGCATTTGTTACTCAATGTAAAATTGTACTGTTTACAATCACTCGCAACAAGACTTGTGCTAGAGACTAAGAAACTTTTTCAAAAGAGGTGGAAACTCGCAATGCAGTGTAAGACGAACTGCGTCAGATCTTTTGTTGCTTTTCAGACTATTGATTTTATGCGATCAACGAGTTTTCGCCTAAGTGAGGAGTCGATTCGCTTAAATGAAGTGTCGATTACTTTGAAAAAAAAAACTACAGCACGCTGACCCAAGCTTGGAAAATAAAATGGTTTTGAGGCGCTATGGAAGATGTTCTATGGAGTAAGACAAGCTAAAGACCAGAATTCAAAAATGAAAGGGGTTTGGAAAAGTTTATTTAAAAAAATCATGAGACAAAAAGCGAGTACTAGATTTGAAACATCGAAAGCTAAGTGGTCGTTGTTCTAAGAGCGTAAAGTCAAAGCCGAGGTTTTTACTAGAAAAATTATGAAAAGATCAACAGTGAAATACTCAAAAGGACTAACCAGTAGCGAACCCAAACTCGAAAGAGCCAACTGAAGTAGCCTATAAATCTCTGATCAGCGAGAAACGCTGTTTTCAAATCTGTCTGTACTCATTATCTGCCAAGCGTTTCTCTAAAAAGAGTTATGAGTCCCGAATTCTCGTTGACATGTCAAGTTTCCTTGAATAGGATTCGCACACGCGCCACCCAGTGCGGTAGTCTGGTGTAGTGGACAAGCGCGGAGCCTATGAAGCAGATGGTCGAGGGTTCGAGTCCTTTTCCTTTTCAACATTCTTTGCAAATCAAGGACATGTTTGCTTTGCGCTATAAGGGGTATCCCGAAAAAAGAGAACAACAATGAAGTGAAAAAGAACTCCACATCACAAAATGAGATTTCGGGATGTGGAGTTCAAAAGCACACGTCTCGCGCCCTTGTGTACTCACATTTCTTTGCAACCACTACCGTAACCCAACATTCTTAAATCTACTCTTCTGGGTCAAACTGGTTCATCTGTTTCACCCACTCGCTATTGGTCAAAATAGTGAATTGACCAGTGGCAAATAGGGTAGAAGGATGACCCGATAGCAAATAGGGTAGAAGGATGACCCGATTGAATCGGTTAATTGTTAAATAACGACTACCCACAATTACTATTTTGGTACCTCACAAAGACATACAAACTCAAAGGACACTTACCTTGATATGGTTCAAAGGATGGAGCTTGTCGAAATGTTAAAAAGTGCAACCGCACACAATAGATGAAGAATGCTATAAACGCTTCAGTGGTATGTGCTATCCCATGTATGAATACCAGAAGAATCACTTCAGATTTTACATTCCTGGAAATGGTTTGGGTACACTTTGCGCCTGTTGATGCCTCCGAAGAGTGACGCAGCGGAAGACATTGAAAGAAGATAATATTTGAGAGCTGAAAAACAAAGACATAACGCAGTGTCCGGCACAGATGGTAAGAGGTCAAACTGGACTTCGTTTTTGAAGTTGGAAGCAACGGGGATATCGTTTTTATGAGGTCCTGGAGGAAGTGCCAAAAACGACGAACATGTTAGGTTTTACGAGTTGAACGTGTTCTTTCGCAAGCGCGCGGATTTCAAACGCAAGACTCAAACAACAAACAAATGACTTGTTTATAGCGCACAAATAACCACATGGCTCCGTATTTGAGCTGTGTGTACACAATATCTCCAAACTATATTATGTGAAAAGTTTCAAAAACTTATGTGTCCTAATAACAATTCCCGAATTTGTTGGTTTCTAGACCAACACCAAACCAACTGGGTTGGTTTGAAGCATAAATATCGAAGAGTTCACATAAGTTTTGGACCTTTTTGATTTGGACGATTAGAACGGCCAAAAATCTATCATGTAGTGAAGAGAGCGAATCCAACCATTGCCTCTCCTCTTTTTCTTAGTCAAAGGTAGCGTTAATCTACGCGTTGAGGATATCGTGCTCCAATCACATGCGGTGTCCTTTGAACTACATATGTGGCGAAAAATGCATCGCCAGATTGTTGAGGCCAAGATTTGGTTGGTCTAGGAGATTTTCGACATTCTGAGAACTAAAGTGGTACTATACCCAATGGCAAAGCCTTTATTCGACTAGATGTCTTCTTTCTGCTTATTTGTTTTGAAAGATAACTCAAAACGCGCTTTTTTCGCTTTTTTATTGTTATTTTGGTTGGTTGAATAAGGGTTTCCTTCTGATTTTTAAGTCAGGAGCAACTTCGTAAATTATCGCGAAGTCATGGGAGACTTCGTTTTTAAAAAAGCTCCAGACCAACGCGTGCCGGGCCCTGTACGTGGATTGCAGGTGCGAATCGTACTTAACGAAAATTGATATGTCAACGACGATCCAGGACTCATAAGTCTTTTTAAAGAACCGCTTGGCAGATTATGAATACAGATTTGGAATCAGCGTTTCATTCTGGTTCAGATGATAAAATACTTACCTCAATTGGCTCTTTCAAGTCTGGGTCTGCCTCTATTAGTGGTAATTTAATGGAAAAGTTGTTAGAAAAATTAGGGAGAATGGGAACTTGAGAGGAAACAATAAAGAGCAACACCTGGAAAGTGATCTTCAGAGGGAATAGGAGATATTTTAATGAGTTGTAAAGAAGAGGAAATGAGGGAAGATTCAATACAGATTTTAACCAAATTTAGGAGTTGAAGACTTTCAAATAATGGGGGATTGGGGACCAGCAATTAATTAGAGATACTAAAAGTCGGTAGAAAGTAAAACGAATTGTGACAGAGAGAGCTTGAGAACACAAGTATTTTTACACTGAGGAATCAACTAGAAATT